GGACCCCACGGCTTCCCTCAGAGTGGCTGTACAGCTCCACAGGATGGACTGGGTTTGTATCGGCCCCTGTATTTCCCCACTTGAGGTATGGGGATATGGATTATACCAACCCCAAGTCAGAACTAAATGGGGGGCAGGACAGTAAAAACACAAAAAAACCCCAGTAAAAACACCACAGCTCAGGTTCACGTGTCTCACCTTTTGCTCTTCCCAGGTACACAGAGTTTCTCCAGCTGTTAAGAGACTGCAGGGGATAACGGGAACTCAATAAACACACTTCAGGGTGCAGCCACAAGGTGACTTTAATAGCTTTAATTTAAAAAAATACTCCACTTGTGAAAAAAAGGCTATTTCTCTTTTTGTTTTCCTCTGAGTAGATCAGTGTCATGCTCTGAAAATACCTGTGTGCTGGCCTGGAATGGAACAGGTGAACATTTTTCTCAAGCACTAATAAACAGCACATACAGTTTTGAATTAAGTGCAAAAGTCATACACCGAAAAATCTGCAGTACAAGGGTCTGACAGAGAAACACTTTACAGAGGTTTCTCGCCAAAATTTCAAAAGTCAAAACTTTTCAAAGAGACTCTAAAGCTTCTTTCTAAAGAGGACTAGAGGCTCTGGGTCTTAAAAGCCAATTTCAAGTTGTCAGCCTTCCCTAGAGTTTTATATACTTTTTGAAGTATTTGGCCTTTACTGGAACAGCTCAGAGCTTCAATGGAAATCTTCATGCAGCAGAAGAGCTTGCCAGCAGGGAAAATCCATAAGGGATGAGAGCAAGGTAGGGGAGGACACTGCAAACTGCAAAGAGGGTGTGGACAACTGGTAGCTCTAGAGATCAGAGATGATTCATACTCCAAAAAATGTATGGTAACTGTATTTACCAGCTGCACTCTGCTCAATGGATGCTGAAATACTTAATAAAAAAATCCTGAAAAGGTTCAAAAATCAGTACTGTACCTTGTACAAGTCTCCTGCTTTCTAAAGAGCCTAAACATATTTATCAGAAGGGGGGGATGTGGGACAAGACACAACAGAACAACTTTAAAAGCATAAGAAATCAGACTGAAAAGTCTATTCCATGTAAGACACACGTTCCACTCAGTGCAGAGAACCTGAGAGCTCCACACCACGCTCAGGGTCCTCGGGAGGCTTTGGAGTCCACAACACAATTTATCCTTAAAATACTTTATTCCATTATAGTGTTCAGATCACGAGGCACGATTCAGATTTCAGCACTGCAGACCCAGGACCCTTAAGGAGACTCAACTACCTTCAGCACCTTATCTGACAGTTCAGAGCTACTTTACACACCCTGAGGGTCACCCCAAACACTCCCAGGTTCTCCTCACCCCTCAGTACAGCTCTTTGGGGCTGTTCTGACAGAGGAGCTGGTAACTGAACTGAGGGAGCTTTAATTTTGCCCTTTTCTAGCCCTTGAATACTTACACACCTTTAGTTCTCATAGTGAACTGCTGACAGGAGAGGAACCAAGGTGGATCCCAGACATGGAAGTGGCTTTAAAGACAGAAGTCTTGAGCTCAGAGTGTTTCCCTGCTACAGAACTCACTCACCAATCCATTGCACTCACTGCTCCCTGTCCAGTTCCTTCTTCCCCTCACACTCCCCGTGCCTTGGAGGGGGAAAGCACAGGAGCTACTTCTGCTGCCAAGGGCAGCACAGTTGTGGGGAAGTCTGGACTCCAAAAGCTCAGCCCAGAACACCAGAAGACACTGGCAGAAAGGAGTGTAATGACATCTGCTTGAAAACACTGTCACTGCCATGAACTGGGGAAGTTTTGTTATCCTCACAGCCTTTCAGGCCAAAGGAGTGTAATTTGATTGCTAACAATTCAGGGGAAAGAAAAGCAGTAAGAAATCTTCCAAGAGGGTCTCTATTCTCAGCTGATGGTTATGAAGGTGCTTTGGAAGATCCCAAATCCAGCCCTAAGAGTTCAGCAAGTTACAGCTACTGAAAAGAAGTGACAGGTGAAAAGGGAGGCTGATGATCACAGTGGGTGTTACTGCCTCAGGCAACTTAAAAACATCCACCACCTTGTATGAACAGCACAGCCTTAATTAGTAATCAGTAAGAGCCAGGACAGTGGTGATGCCCACATTTAGGGAGCTGTTCTTCCCAACTACTTGTGTTTTAAGACATTGTTCTCAAGTCTTAAGAAACAGAATACAAATGAGGTTCTAAGAACAGAGATGTACTTTGCCATGGTCCCCATAAAACCGTCATCCTCCAAATCAAGAGACTTGGTTCCCTACCAAAACTCTAATTAAAAGCAATTCAGGACAATACACAGTTTTGTTTACAACCATGAAGTTTTTCTATGGCATGACTATGACCAGAAAAAAAAAAAAATCTTCATTCTTCTATTGCTGTTTCATTATCCTGGGAATTCTACTTCCAAATGTAATTCATAGAGCTATTTTGTGTGCTACTTTGTATTAAAAGTTCAGTATAAAACAAGACAAAAGCAATAAAATCAAATCATTCAGTCTTGTAAGTCAGACATCCTCTCACTTGGGCCTGGGTTACATTCTAAGTTCTTGTTAGACAAGCACAGTGACTCTTGCAGAGCTGTAGAGCTGAACATATGGAGCATACACAATAACCAGGGACTGAAGCAAAACTGAGTGACAGATAGGCTTTAGATCCTTTGTCAAAGTACTTTGTTGGAAAAGTCTGCTTCTGACTTCCATGTTTAACCCAGATAAATCATCTTCCCTGTGAGAGGTACATCCAGCCCCTTGAGCTTAAGAAAGTAAACGAATAAGATCACGTTAACATTAAAAGCACGAGCAGTCCACCAGTTCTCCCCACCTTCCCACAGAAAGGCTGGCAGAGAACTTAGTTATCCATCACAGGAAGTGCTAATCTGTTTTATCTTCCTCCTCTGCAGCATAGATGGCTTGATTCCTCCTCTTAATCTTTTTAACGCCGCTGTTCCCGTTCTCATCACCCCCCGTGCGCTTCAACGGTCTCTCAGTGGAGCTCTTCTCCTCCCCCTGCTTACTCCCAGCAGACTTCTCCAGATCCTCGTTGTTGGAGTCCATGGCATCATCGGAGGACACCGCCATGGAATCCGGCATGATCCGGATGTCGGAGAAGCTCGTGGAGAACTCGGGGGGGTGATCAGGGGAAGGATCTACAGAGCACGTACTCAAGTCTTCATCGCCACCTTCTTCATCCAGCATTATCTCATCTGGATTGATGGAGGAAAGGCCAGAGTTATCTGTGGTATATTCACTGGGCTCCTCTGCTGACCCAGTGCTGTCCATCTCCTCCTCCTCCTCCTCCTCTTCATATTCACCCCGTCCTGAGCCCTCTTCCTTCGCCTGCTGGATCCTGTCGTTGATGTCAGTGAGGCCAAACTGGGCGCAGAACTCGGTGGTCTGAGGATTGATGGTATGAACTGGCTGCATGTTTTTCTGGGGCTTGCTGGGATCATAACAAGCAGCGGTCAGGGTGAAGTTAGAGGGAATTGTGAGGTTGTGATTCAGCTCTTCTAACACCTCTTTGATGGCTTCGTCGGTCGCGCTGTAATCCCACCTAAAAAAGTGCAGAGAGTTCAAACAAGTGCAGCTGGTCCAAAGGCACTGCCTGTTCCCACTGCAAAGGAGGGGCTATGAATCCAGCCCACAACAGACACCTCATTTCTCAGGTGATCTTTTCAGGGAAGTTTTCGGTTTCCTTTGGTCAGCACTGAGATTCCCCCCTCCCCACCAAGGATTTGTGTGTTATGTCAGCCCACCCCCATGACCCAGCCTGATTTTCAGCCTCACAATCTGTCTGGCAGGATGATCAGCCACGGGGTATTCTCTGTCCCTCCAGTGCTGGTACCTGAGTTTGCAAAACAAAACTAACAGCCCAGGAGGAGCAGAAAGGAAGCTGCTTGCTCCAGAGTACAGCTCTTAGCATGCCCTTTGCTTCCCGAGGCATTCAGCAAGTCCTGCAGGCACAACAGGCTGCAGGACACAAACACAGCTCTGACACAACTTTACCTCCAGTCCAGCAAAAAAAAAAAAATCCCACTTTCCTCTCTGCTTTGCAGGCAACTTACTTGGCATGGAGGCCATTCTTTTCAGGCATGTTCCAGGAGCACTGAGTCACATTAACCAGGCTGTTGGTGGCCTTGAGCACTGCGATCCACTCGGCATCATACTCCAGGGAGTCACCCGCGTTAGGATCGTGCTCCACATCTATTATCTACTCACAACACAGACAATAACAACGAGAGAAATTACAGAGTTATTTCTCTTGACATCAGAAACTCATCAAAGTTTTGTTACTTTCACCGTGCAGAGTTTTAAGAAAGTTTAAAGTACACTGAGCTAGGGGTCTCAACCAAACAAGTCCTCTCAAGCCCCACCTACAGGTTTAGACCAGAAGAGGCTAAAAAAGGACAATCAACAACAGTAAAAAAGGCATTTCTGAATTTTAGCTTACAGCAAATAGAAAGCAGAACACCCTCCCTCCCTCCTGCCAGCAACTGGGCAGTTATGCAACTTAGAATTGAATTTGCCTACTCTTAAATTCACATACACATCAAGAACTGATGGCAATAGTTATTCTGCTGCATGAACACACAGCAATTAACAGGAATTGGTTTTAAACTCTTTCAGCAGCTGATGGATTGAAATTTGTCTTCAGTGACATTAACCCAAATCAAAGTGTTTGGTTTAGTCAAAGCACCAGTCAGACTCTGATTTTAAATGATCCATAAAGTAATTCCACCTTTTAAGGCAGTTTAGAACAAAAAAACATAACAAAAGATGCGTTTTAAACCAGAGTTACACACAGGGGCATCACCACGCTGTTGGAGGTAGTACTAACCCAGATCAGTTTTGGTACAGGATTTTAAGTCTGGACTAGCACCCCAGTGACCCCTTGCACAGCCAAAGCCCATCCTCACGCTCTCTCCTATCTTCAGAGGTAGCTCCTGGGGCAAATGGATCCCAGCACGTGCCCAAAGCACAGAGAACGAACCACCTTCCCTTTAAGCTGATCAACTAAAGCTACTTTCAGACTCATAAAACACTTGACTGCATTTGAAGAAGAGCTGTCAGGGGCTCCCTCTCACAGCAAGGAATTTTAGACTCATCCATATAAGTCAAGTTATTTTTCCAAGGTGAAAGGAGATGGCAGGGATAAGCAAATGCTGCACCTGCACGACAAGACCCGAGGTCTGCTTATTTCAGGACAAAATTATGCAAAGACCATTCCACATATCCCCCATTCCTACTTTCTTTAAAACTGATCAGCACTATTCTCCAGCTGATATCCAAGCACAGCAGTAGCAGCCCAGACAAGTGAAATACTGACTGTGAAAACCCAGTGCACATGTCCATCACCTGCAGGAAGTCTCTGTGTGGCAGGCATTTATCCAGAGCCAGAAACTTGGTTGCTTTTGGCAGCTCTTCTTTGGAGCTTGTCTAGGAAACAAATGGTGTTCACACAGTTATTAGCAGTTCTGTGAAATCTGACCATTCTAAACAAGTTGTATAGACAGGTTTACAGGCATAACTTCTGCAGGAAAAATACTTTCAGAAATAGAAACATAGCTTGGGTTTATAAGAAAGGGATGAAGGGACAAAGAGGAGGACAGATTTCCCTGGGAGTCACCCAGGAAGCTGGATGAAGGTGAGAGCAAGATAAAGCAAGAGCCACCTTTCGTCCCTAAGGCTGAGGACAGCCAGCCTTGGAGCAAAAAGGAAAACTGTAACCAAATTAAAACAGACTTGTTGAGCCTGCAAGATCTGGAGTTACATTTTTACACCCAAATAACTTGCAAACAGAAACAGGAGGTCCCACCACTTTCAGGAATAACTGTTTCAACTACAGAGGCTGGGTTTTGGCTTAACCCAGGCCACCAGGCAACCCCACCTGCCAAGTCTTACAGGTGCCCTGCCCCCCAGGTAACCACACTCTTCAGTGGCTCCTCTATCACCTTATTTTGAAGTAGTCTCCTTCCCCAACAGAGCTGGAAAGAGAATGCTTTCCTGTAAGTTAAATTAACATATTTCAACAGCAGTAACATGAGCTATTTCATGCTGTCCTTGAAGAAGATTGAGGGAGTTACACCCCTGATCCCTGATTCATAACATCTCTTTAAGTTACATAAATTAGTAGTCTTAACACCACTTAATTTTTTTGTGGCTTAAGCTGAGTTTTAACAACAAAAACCGTTAAGCAGTTGCTTTTCTGGCCCTGATGACTTGCACTGGAATTCTAACCTGTGTCTGGGACACACACATTCTTCACTGCCTTTCCCCCTTTACCTCATGCTGCATGAAAGCTGCGAATTTAACGTGCAGATGTGCTGAGAACCAGTAGGTGGGTTTGAGGTGCTGCAGGAGCTCAGAGGCAGCAGGGTTCCCCAGAGTGTTGCTCTCCACTTCTTGGCGGAAGAAGGATTTCATTTTGAGGAGCTGTTTCTTGTTCCCATAGTGGTAAATGCTCCTGGGCCAGTCGTGGGACATGAATATATCCATGGGACGCTTCAGCTGTCAGCCAAACACACAGGGTACAAACAGCACATGTGATATGGGAGTCAGGAATCCCACAGCACAAGGTGAACACATGTCACACGTTCCCCCTCAGACCAACACAGAGCCAGCTGGGACCAACAGCCTCCCTTCCAAAGCCAGGGAATACACTGCCCAGCCCCACCCTGCAGGTGGCCTCTGGAGCTGCAAAGGGACTCTAATGTCCATGGTTTGTTCTACACTTTCTTGGGATAGTCAGCTGTGTTTTGTACTGCCTGAGAAAAGAGATCACATCATCACCATAAGAGTCAGGCACTCAGGGGGAACTACAGCTGTAGAGCAAGTTCTCTGCCCACAATCCAAGGCATCTTCTTCCTCATGAAATTGTTAAAAGCTTTGTTCAAAAGGGATAATGGCTGAGCACAGTATTCCTCCTCAAAGGAAGCATCCCTCAGATCTAATCAACGTCTTAAAGCATGTCTTGGTTTAACATTTCCCTCAGTTGTATCAGAACCCACCTCTAGATGAAACCTGAGTCCAAGCAACAAGAAACTTCGAGTGAAACGCATCAACCTCTTTGCAACGAACCAAACCTTCACTCCGTGTTCAGCACCCCTGTAGCCACTGAGCACTTCAGTGTGCAACTGCAACCTGGACAACCCTTCACAAGGTGCTTATAAAGACATGTATTTACACCACAACCTCAGCCAAATAGAGTGGCCCTGTGACACAGCAGAGAGTAGGCAAGAGCTCAAAAATAAAGTGAAACTGTCCTTTGAATTTCTCACCCTGGAGTCAAAAATACTTAAACCATGGGGATTTGGGATCAGCTTGTTTAGCTGGTTCAATTTTGAACAGTTAACTTTGTACCAACCACCTTGGATGTTAGATAAGGTAGCATCCACCTTCCTAAAGCTAGGGTAAAGCTGGAACAGAGGGGTATCACTGGAGTACCTTCCACTGAGTTTTATCCAATTCAAAAAAAAAAAAAAAAAAACAAAAAACCCATTCCTGTCTGTGTCTGAGTCACACCAAATTTGCACTGCTACACAAAGCACTGGGGGAGATACTCAGCAGGAACAACAGTGGAACAACATCCAACATAAAATGGTCTGCCCAAAGTGGCTGAGAGTTGCTGGCAAGATTTGCTATCCAACTGCACACTTGGTCAGAGCAGCTGTAACTTCTCACTTCCAAATGAATGAGAACTATTTATCGCTGTTCAAAAAAACCAGGAATTTCACTAACCTGTTTGAGTTTGAAGACTTCAATGTTCCTCACATGGTAAGCACTTCTAATTGTTTGCTGGTTGTATGGGGGGCACTCAAAGTGGCCTGAAACAGGGAAAACAAGAGTAGTTGCCTGAAACAGCAGTTCCCTCCTACACTGCTGGCAAGGCAGCATTTTGGGGTCACACAGGCACCTAGAGCACCCCAAATACAAGGCTGGCAGTAATCAATGCAGACACTGTATTTCCTTTGCACACAGCGTGCACCAACAGGCTGCCAATCTTTTATGTGTGAGGCAAATATGTTGTAAAAATGTGCCTACAATAATGGGCACTTCTTCCACTGTGTGTCTTATTTTCACAAATATAGAAAACAGAGTCATTCGGTGTGGAAACAAAACCCAGGAATTTGACTCCAATACTCAAAAGCCAGGACCTGTTGGAAACAAATAACTCCTGGTAGAAAGATTTATGAGGTTTTGCAGCTCTGAGGTGAGATAACAGCCTCAGTACCCCCACAGTGACACTGCACAGCCATGTGCAATTCCACATGTGGAGAGCTGTCTGCTGCACAGCCATGACACTTCTGTATCATGTCATATCACAGCTACACATGCAAACGTGCTGGCACAGGACAAGAACACTGGGGAGATGAGAAAATGCTGAAGTTGGGTATAGACACAGTGAGAGCAGAGAGCAAGCCTCTGTGAATGGTCAGTGGTCGGAACATAAATTAGGATGTAACAACTCAGAAAGAGGCATAAACTAAAAGATCACAAAACACCACATGAGAACTGACTCCTGACTCAGGCCACTGAGGCTGTGATTTTCTACGTTTGTTCAAGAGTGCTGCCACCCACCACCAAACTACAGCTTAACAGGTTCAGCAGCAGCTCAGAGATCCGTGTCACAGCCCACAGGCACCACAAACTCCAGGAGCACAAACACGAACCCTGACAAAGGGATGAGTTTCCAGGTTTGCCTCGGGACAAGAAACCTGAAAGTCTAGCATAGCTCCTACATACTCTAAAGAATGCACAGAAAACATACTTTCTTACTAGTCATGGTTATTGTCTCACATGCAATATTTAGGCATACAAAGTGTATGTTTGATAACAACAAATTTAATTAGCATTGACAGGTATTAGATAGAATCAGATGTTCTAGAAAACTAGTTCAGTACTCTGCAGCTTGAAAGCCACCTGCAGAGCTTCTCTGAAGCCCCGTGTCACTGAAGGTAGTACTGTACAGTAATCACAATCACTCTTGCATGTGCTGAGATCAGAAAGAACACTGACACGGGGCATCATCTGTGACAAGATTTTTGCCACGCTTCCAAGGAAGAACTCTTGAATATACACACATGTGTGTGTATAACCAGGAGGAACTGGATGTATGGACATTAAAACTCAGGACAGGACAGGACATTTATATAGTGTCAAACTGGGAACACAGGGAAAACTAAAGACTCTTGCACTGCAGGCTAAAAGGACACTGCCATGGAACAACCAAGACTATTCCAACAACACTCCAAAGGTGCCCTTGCTTCCTGCTGTGGTCGCTGGGCAGCTACAGACTCATCACCAACTCCAAAAAAAACTGGGTATTGAGCCAGCAGAGGTTTCCAGCGCAAGAGCTGGAGCGGGGATGAGGACAGCCAGACCCACCC